GCCTAAAACTGCAGTCAGTACTGAACCTTATATATGCTATATTTTTTCCTATACAAATACCCCTATGATGAAGTTTATAAATTAGGCACAATAAGAGATAAACAACAATAACTAATAATAAAATAGAACAATTATAACAATTCACTGGAATAAAAGTTATGTGAATAGGATCTCTCTTTCTCTGTCAAAATATCGTCTTATACTGTACTATCCTTCTTGTGATGACATGCAATGATAAAATGCCTACACAAGATAAAGTCAGTGAATGACATATGCATTGAGATGTTACATTAGGCTTCTATTGACCTGATGATGTGTCAGGAGGAGGGTCATCTGCTTTGGGTGGTCCTGGATCACTGAGCCAGGGAATCCCAGGGGGACAGAATGGGAAAGTGTGAGATTTCATTATGCCACTTAGAATACCACGAAATGCAAAACTGGGGAATTGTGCCTTTCTAGAATTTTCCATTTAACATTTTTCGGCCATGGTTGAGCATGGGTAGTTGAAACTGTAGAAGGTGAAACCACAGATGAGGGGAGACTACTCTCTATACACGTAGATTGATTCATTATAGAAATTGGCTTACACAATTTGAGGCCAAGAAGTCCTAGACTCTGCCATGTATAAGTCGGAGAATCAAGAAAGTCAGCAGTTCAAGTTCAAAGGCCCAAGAACCAGGAACACTGAAGTCCAAGGACAGGAGAAGATAGACATGCTGCTGCTAAGTCGCTTCAGTCGTGTCCAACTCTGTGTGACCCCATAGACGGCAGCCTACCAGGCTCCTCCATCCCTGGGATTCTCCAGGCAAGAACACTGGAGTGGGTTGCCATTTCCTTCTCCAATGCATGAAAGTGAAAAGTGAAAGTCAAGTCGCTCAGTCGTGTCCATCCCTTCGAGACCCCATGGACTGCAGCCTACCAGGCTCCTCCGTCCATGGGATTTTCCAGGCAAGAGTTCTGGAATGGGTTGCCATTGCCTTCTCCGAGACATGCTAGCTCAAGAGAAAGAGCCAATTCTCCCTTCCTCTGTCTTTCTGTTCTACTCAACCTCAGTGGATTAGCTGATGCCTCCCCACATTGCTGAGGACCATCTTCTTTACTACATCTACTGAATCAAACGCTAATTTCTTTCAGAGACACCCTCACAGACCTACCCATACATAATGTTTTACCAGCTACCTGGGCATCTCTTAGCCTTGTCACATAAAATTAAAAAATAAAATTTAATCTGACACATAAAATTAATCATCACAGATGAGGTCTTTCTAAGCATCTTCCTGATTAGTTATTCTCCGAGGCCACTTTCAGAGTAACATTCCATCATCCACCCACTCGGGGGCTCTGTGCCTACCATCCTGTCATAACTCTCTTCATTTACCCCCTAATAGGAGGGGGCATCCCCCAAAGAACAGCTAGTGTAGCAGAAACAGGCTAGGATCTGCAGCAGCCAAAGGCTGGGAAGCAATGCTGAGACTGAGCAATGATGGTGGTTATAGTGATGCTAGTGATCAGGGTAGTGATGGTGACGGCGATGGTGATGGTGATGGTGAGGATAAGGGTGATGTGGTTGAGCTAGAGAGCCGGCAACTGGCCCAGGACAACACACCGGGGAAGGAGCTATGAGTGGGGGGAACACAGTGAGACCTTGACCCTGCTTGAGTGTCCCCGGTCCAGAGAACCCGGAATCCCTTACATGTGCTACACCTTCCCCTCCCCTACTCCCACCAACAATGGTGAAAATAATTCCCAAATGCCTAAGTTTTCACTTTACAGCTAGCTCTGAGAACCATCAGCTAAGGCCATATTGTTTTCAGGTCAGATAATAGCGAATCGCCTAGAACATATGCTAATAAAAAGCCGCAATCCTTTATCCTGTCTTTAGAGAGAAAGAAGAGGAAAACGTAATCCCCAGAGAATAAGAAAGCCTAAATTCTGGCCAGCAGCGGGGGGGGGGGGGGGGGGGGTCCTCAGCATCTGTCCCAGGCCTGCCTGTGCCTTTACTTACCAGGAGGAAGAAAGACCCCCAGATGAGCCGGAGCAGCCACTGCGTCCTGCCTCCCACCCCTGGACGCTGTGCCAGGCTGCCCAGGCTGCGTCACCAGTGGTGGCACCAGCACCGAGGACTGAAGGATCTTTAATAAAGCCTGGCTTCTGCCGCCCCCCCACGCTCTGGGGAGGGCTGGGAGGAACAGAGAAGGCAAGCCTACCACCAGTCCTGTGCCCCCTCCCCTCGGGGACACGGCCGCCGCCCCCCCACGACTCAGCCATACCCGTAAATACAGAAAATTGCACGATATCGTCATGATCGTCTTGAAACCCAGGTAATTGATTCGGAGAGGTTCTCACTTCTCTAGAAACCCAGGCAATTGATTCAGAGAGGTTCTCACTTCCCTCCAAAAGTAGATTACAGAGCAGAGAGGAGAGAGAGGATGGGAGTGACAGGGAAGGGTGGGGAGCTGCCGTCAATTCTATTTTCTGGAAAAGTCCTGTTAAAGCACAGGAAGGAAGCAGAGACCTAAGCGTTTTGCTGATGGAGGGAAAACGGCACTGTGATCCATACCCATGGCTGCTGGAACCACAGTCCTGCCCACGTTGCTGGGGGTCCCCTTCAGCCCATTGGCACCCACGTGTCCAAACTAACAAATGCTTTCCAAGCACCCCAGGGGGAAGAGAATTGGGAGGGCGGGTGTGTCTCAGTCCTCCAAGTTCAGGGTCACTGTGGCTGCATCAGGAACCCTGAAAGACCCTACAGAAGATGCAAGCTGGGACAATCCAACGTGGCAGCTCCCCAAATGCCAAATCATGACACACACACACACACCCTCACCCTCGCCCCACGCGCCTGGCTCCCTTCCACACACATTCACAGGCTCTCACGTCACATGCCTGGTGACCTCAGTCTGGGTCAAAATGTGCCTAATGAAACCAAATTTGGAAAGAACTCCTCAGTGCCAAGAAAGAGCTGCAGCCTCCTCCATTTCTGCAGACAGGTGACCAGCCCGACGCAATGGGTCTTCTACATCCAGGTTTCACGGATTGTCTGACAGGGGGCCCAGAACCCCTTCGTGTTCCTGAGTACGTTCAGGCTCAGAAAGCCTCACTTGGCCAATAAACCACAGAGCAAAGACAGACCGGAACCCCCATCCACCTGACCCCACCCCTGGCCTTTCCCCTGGGATATTCCTGCAACAACTCCGATCTCTCAAGAAGAAACAAGACACCGCTACCATCCACTGTGAAAGTTCTCTGCATCAGTGGGGGAGTGAGAACACTTGTGACCTGGGGGTCTACACACCAGAAACCACGTGGACCCATACACACTGGGTACACAATTTCTGTGTCTTGGGCTGCACACTTGTAAAATGAAGTTTCCTTCTTCTGCTCCTTTCCTCAAAGAACAAAAATGATGCAAGAAGAAACTTCTGAAATGCACAAGGCCTGGAAATGCAAGTATTCCCTCCCTCCCCCCAGGGCCTCCCTCCATCTACAGACCAAGAGACCTCTCTGCACGTCTCACACTCACACTGGGTCACTACTCCCTGGTCAGATGTGAACCAGGTATGAAGGAGTTTACACTGCTTGAGCGGTGATGGCAGTTTTAGCAAATAGGTGTGGAAAAGAAAGTAATTCTTGGTTCCTCTATTTTCTGCTTTGGGCATTCTCCCTCCACGTTTTCATTTCAAAAAATGGGTTTGATCCCACTTGCCTCACACGTACCTGCTGAAGCAATCCAGTGTTCAGCAGGGCCTCACAGCACAAATGACACAGACTGTAATTTTTTAAAAATATTTATATTATTTATTATTGGCTGCACTGGGTCTTCATTGCTATGCACAGAGTGGGAGGGTGGCGCTGCTGTAGTTGCGGAGAGTGGAGGCTACTCTCTAGTTTCGGTGCGTAGGCTTCTCATTGCAATGGCTTCTCTGACAGCACAGTGCAGGCTCTAGGGCACACGGGCTTCAGCAGTTGCAGCATGCTGGCTCAGTAGTTGTGGCTCGTGGCCTTAGTGGTCCGGCGCAGGGGCGATGTTCCCAGACCAGGGATCAAACCAGGGTCCTCTGCATTGGAGGGCAAATTCGTAACCACTGGACCACCAGGGAAGGCCACCCTGTACTTTAAACTCCAATACCTTGCTGGATACTCAGGAGTTCACACAAGAAACTTAAGGCAGGCAACTTCATTTAGGCCAGCCAACATGCTCTGGGCCTCCCAGGTGCCCGGCACTGTGCTAGGTGACAGACAAGGGGCCAGTGAGACCTGAGGCTCCTTCCAAGAGCTCGCCAATCCCCAGGGAGAGAGCACCGGCTCCTTCAGAAGCCAATTCTAATTGGAAGACTCCAAGAAGGCTTCCCGGAGGAGGCCCTCAAGCCAGATCTACAAGTGGGGAAGAAAAGGCAAATCAAGAGACAGAAAGCCAGAGGGTGATTGCCCGGGGCCAGGGGTGGGAACAGGGAGTGACAGCTTATCACAGGGCATGAGGGAGCCTTCCGGGCAAGGGAAACATTCTAAAACTGGGCTGTGGTGGCAGATGCAGAGCTCTGTAAGTTTACTTAAAAGTATCAAATAATACACGATTTTTGGCTGCACAGTGAGGCTTGTGGGTTCTTTAGTTCCCCAACCAGGGACCAAACCCTTGCCCTTGGCAGTGAAAGCATGGAGTCCTAACCACTGAACCACCAGGGAAGTCCCATCGAACAATACACTTTAAATGGGTACACTTCACGGTATGAAAATTATACCTCAATAAAACTGTTAATTTCAAAAATCTTTAAAAAAGACTGAAGTAGGAATTTAATGGATCAAGTCTGGGTGGGAGGAGAAGGAAGACACCGTATCCACTGGCCTGACTCACCCTCGGAGTCCCACTTCCAGCCTCCCTGGGCCCCCACCTGCCTCCAGAAAGCTGCCTCATCCCGAAACTTAAACAGTGCTTCTCCCCAGGCCTGGGGCCAAGGCAGAAGCTGCCCTCCAGGCACCTGTCAACTCCACCAGCTCATTGGATGGTCTCCCCACCCTACAACCGCAACCACGCTCTCTGGACAGGGATGAAGCCCAGGCCCAGCTTTCAGAGCCAGGTTTGGAGCAAGGCTACAGGAGGGGTTTAGCAGTGGGCTTCCCTGGTGGCTCAGATGGTAAAGCATCTGCCTGAAATGCGGGAGACCCGGGTTCAATCCCTGAGCCAGGAAGAACCCCTGGAGAAGGAAATGGCAACCCACTCCAGTACTCTTGCCTGAAAAATTCCATGGATGGAGGAGCCTGGTGGGCTACAGTCCATGGGATTGCAAAGAGTCGGACACGACTGAGTGACTTCATTTTCACTTTCACTGAAGAAGAGAAAGAACCTGGGGGGTCGTGGGGGTGGAAAGGGAGATGAAGAAATCGAAAAACTGACCTGAGGACAGGGTGCCTGCAGCAAAGGAATGCAAGCCAAGCTCCAGCCTGAGGGATGAGGCTTGGCTGGGTGTTGGGAAGAAGAGGCATGGGGGTGGGGAGAGGGGTGGGGCAACAGGGGGCAGAGACATTAGATGGGTGGAGAAAGAAGGGAGAAGGGCCCAGAAACACAGGGTGGGGTGGGAGGTGTGGAGGGACTCTAGGCTCTGCTGTGATGTGGGGTATCACAGAGCACTTCAAACCAGTCTATCCTAAAGGAAACCAACCCTGAATACTCACTGGAAGGACTGATGCTGAAGCTCCAATACTTTGGCCACCTGATGTGAAGAGCTGACTCATTGGTTAAGACTCTGATGCTGGGAAAGATTGAAGGCAGGAGGAGAAGGGGACGACAGAGGACAAGATGGTTGGATGGCATCAAGCTCATGAACTTGGGCAAACACCTGGAGATGGTGAGGGACAGGGAGGCTTGGTGTGCTGCAGCCCATGGGGTTGCAAAGAGTCAGGCATGACTTGGAGACTGAACAACAATGAAGTGCGCAGCACACGCAACAGCATTCGGTCAGAGCGGTGGAGAGCTCACTGAGGCGACAGCAGGTGCCCAACTAAGGGGACACCTCCCTTGCTGAAGGGGACACACGGCAAGGGAAGACTAGCTAGGACAACAGGGTATTCAGGCAATCGGGGAAGACTTCCCTAAGAGGAACGACACATACCCCAAAACTTTCTTCCTGTGTCCAGGATCATGGTGGCTTTATCCAAGGAGTAAGAGTTGAACAATCCTGAGTGTTTCTTAGCCAAGGGTCAAAAACCCATCACTAGCTCCTCAAAGAAGACTTCTCATCTAATGAGGCAGGCCTACCCCAGTCTCCTGGCTTCCTGCCAACCTGGGTTGTACCTGAAACTCTAAAAAGAAACAAATACCCAGAAAACACAGCAGCTGGATTAGCAAGTGGGGGTGGGGGTGAGGGGTGACTGAGCTTATGAAGGAATGTAAGTACAGCAAGTGAAAGTCACTCAGTTGTGTCCGACTCTTTGCGACCCTATGGATTGTAGCCTGCCAGGCTCCTCTGTCCATGAGCTTCTCCAGCCAAGAATACTAGAGTGGGAAAAAAAATAAAAGAATACTGGAGTGGGTAGCCTAATCCTTCTCCCGGGGATCTTCCCGACCCAGGGATCGAACCAGGGTCTCCTACATTGCAGGCAGATTCTTTACCAGCTGAGCTACCAGGGAAGCCCCTCTGAAGGAAAATGAAAAGGCAAAAAGAAAGCATCTTGGCCACCCCAATGCAGCAGGGGAGGGAGCCTGAGGCCTTTCAGACAGTGTCTTCACTTAGTCACATGTCACGAACACCAAGATGTGAAGCTTTGCCTCTGAAATTCAATTTGACTTGAAACGGCATGGCCAAGGCAAGGTTCTCTGAAAGGATTCACTGTGCTTTTCAGATAATTTTTTAAAAAATTCTTTAGACTTGCACCTTGCTCAGTGCCTAATACATGTTCCACCTGTCAAACCGTATGGATTACCTGAAGTTACATGAAATCCACACGAGTAGATTTCAACGCATTTTTTTTTTCTTCTTTTTGGTGAAAAGTGATTTGAAAGAGTTTTTTTCCATGGGGCAAGTGGCACCGAAAGACCCTAAGTCCGCTCTGCTGTCTCCATACATGATTACCCTCCGTCATCCTGATTGGAAACTGAGCCTAAAGGGAAGAGGATAAGACCCACACGAGATGCACAGATGCGCAGCCTTGCAGGTGGGCATGAAAACATACAAGGAATCCAATGAGACTACAGGAGGATGGTGAGTCCCAAGGTAGAGTATGATTAAGCCTCCAAGGGCTCTCTTTCCCCAGCACAATGACATCAGGGGCTGACAAACTAGCAAAACACACATAATCCCCCATCAAGTCTGGGCTGGCAACTCATAAACTGGAAGCATCAACCTGCGACAAACAAGCACAGTTTAGGTCTTCCTGGAACGCTAAAATTCTCATACAAATCCAATCCTCAACCTAGATAAAATGTCAGCTGCCGAGAGGCTTACTCTCTAGTGCCAAATAAACTCTGGGGCTCCTTATTAATTTAGTATCCTGGATTATCAGACCATGGCACTTCACCACTTCCAAAGGGGCAAGGCAAGGTCTTATCGTAAGTAAGTTTGGGGGAAGGCCTGTTGGAGGAAGGGGAAGACAGACTACTCCGATGCACAAACACTCACCATCGTATTTCATGTGAATGTTGAAATTATGTGTGCGGAGCCCTGAGGGCAAGAGTTGCAAGCCCTGGATGACAGCCCTACCTCTGCACCAGACGAAATGCCACAGGAGCTCCAGGTAGAAAGGGGGCTTGGTGAGTGCAAGGCCCGGGCTCAGGAGTGTGGGCCAATGAGATCCCACTCGTTGACCTTCTGTTTTTCTAATTCTGCACAACCCTGCAGCCAGAAAGGGACTTTAGGAGAAATCCTGAAGGAATTTGTTCAAGCTTTTTATTTGTCTTGGAGTATCTCTCGAGAAGGGCTTGTTGAAAACGAGTGGGTCATTGGCTAGTGTTGGGGCAAATCTCTGTTCTTCTGGGCATCTGACTCCCAAAGCCAGGTCTCCCAAATTATTATCACACATTGACGTATGCTTACCAACTTACAAAAATCGGAACACAAATGAAGCAGGCAAGGCGAGAACAAGGCACCACATCCCATGGCAAGCGAGAGGCAGAATCCCTAGCCCTTCCTTCCAACACATTATCCAATAAAACCTCAAGAGCTCAGTAATTACAGGCGCTTTCAAAAGTGAAACAGAAATAGATCTAAGTCCATAACACTGTTTTCCTTAAGACAAAGGGCTGGTTTTAACTAGGGGGAGGGCAAAATCCCAGCTTTTGGTCTGTCTTCTAAGCAAAGTCAGGCTGATTTTTTTTTTAATATTATTGTTGAAATCTGATTATGGGGGTGAGAATAGGATACAGATCAAGAGTCTTCTTCTCCTCCAGGATATAAAATCTTTTTATGGAAACATAAAAAGCAGGTTGCATTCTAAGTGTGCTCCTGACACCAACTGAGGATGACAAATTAGCTTATTATTCGGTTCCCCTGGCCTGCAATCACTGTGGAGATCTCACGGCTTGGGTCCCAGCAGAAGGCAGACCAAAGGAACCGAGCCAGAGGCTTCTGCTCCTGTGTCATAGAAGCCTGCGGAAGCTTCCTTGAGAACACCAGCCAAGAGCATTGGACAGTTGGAAAGGCACCCGGACCCAAGCAACAGCCCCTGCCCACTCCATGCCAGCGTTTCATTTTGAGAACCACATGTACCATGAGGTCTGCTGCTCCCTTGGTGAAAGTTGTATTTGGGTTTTTTTTTTTTTTTTTCCCATCTGAGAAGGGTCCTGAGAGGAAGAAACTAGAAATGAAAGGGAGGAATCCCGGGCTATGGCAGAAGGCAGGCGGCAGTGCAGCCCTGGCCAGCTGGCCGTGCTGGGTCTGAGCAAGCGCTCTGGTGTGGCTGGCCGGACTCCGCCTGAAAGCGAATGCTGGTTAGAACTGCGTGCACAGTCACTGCAGTTCAATGAGCACCAGGTTTGACACTAAACATTAAAAATTAAGGCGTAGGACTAGGAGAAAAGAGTCCCACGCAGACCCTCAGCTTCCTGCACAAGGCTGATCAAAGGGAGAAGGGATTGGGGGGTTGGGGGTGGGGGGTGGAGAAGGTAGGGCGTTCGATGCCAGCGCCCAAGGCAGGACTCGCCATCCTGACAATCATGCTCCTCTAGGGGGGAGTGGATGTTGGCGGGGAGGAAAAGGGGGCAGCCTTCCGCGTGACCAGGCCTGGTCAGGGGTGCCCCGGGAGCCCGAGATGCGTCTCTGCGGCGAGTACCACTTTCTCACCGCTGGGCTCCCAGATGGCAGATCCGCACGCCCCCGGGGAGTAGGCACTTGTTGAACAAAAGGGCTCCCGACTCCCGCAGCCTCTGCTTTCGGCCAGGAGAGGGACCCCCGCTCGGGCGCGCCAGGCTTAGCGGCTGGAGAAGGGCTGGCGCCCGGCGCTGCGCGCTCCTTCACCTTCCAGGCGGCGCCGGACCGGAGCAGCGGCGGGGAGACGGCACCGCCGGCCGCCTAAACTTTCTTGGGTCTCCGAGCTTCATGGTTAAGTTAGGGCGGCGGGAGAAGCACACCACACACGGGGCGGGGGTGGGGGTGTGTGGAACAGGAGCCTCTCCCACGATAAAGGGGGAAAGAAAGGATTTTTTTAAAGTGAGACGCTAATCCAGTTACCATAACACCTACTGTGTGCCCGGCACTCGGCCGAACGCGAGAGAGCTACAGTGTTTCTCATTTTAACCGTCACGACAGACCCCGAGGGAGGGGGGGAACTGTCCCCATTCTATAAGAAAACCGCGATCCGGGATGGTGGCGTATCTGGCACAGGTGGCGCGGGCGCCAGTCCCCGCGATGCCCCGGCTCCTAACTCCGCCGCAGGCTCTGCCCGCCGCCCCTCCGCCTGGGATGGGGCGAGCAGATGGCCGCCGAGCTGGCCCCTTCCCCTGGCCAGAGTGCACAGGTGACTCACGTGGACCGCGCGGACCTGTCCCCGGGTGGGGGTCGCCCGGCTGTCCCCGAAGCCCGGGCTAGCCACCCTCCACCCCGGGCCTCGGATCCCTGCTCTGTCTGTAGCTCCGCACTGCGCCGGCCGGCCGGGACCCGCGCGGCTCTGCGCTCGGGTCTGCTCCGCCCACGCCCACCTTGCCCATCCGCACCCCGACACGCACAGCCGCTCACACATGATACACACTCGGCGCACCGGTCCCCACCAGCAACTGCGCCCCGACACGATTCCACAAACGCAGCCCCCAAATGTGCCGATTCCAGCTGCACACACGGATGCCCCACGAGGATACACCATTCCAGGGACACACCGCCGTACTCAGTCAACCACAACTCCACAGCGCAGAAAAACACAATCACCGCCGGCACACGCGCACACAAGCACACACACACGCAGAGAGCCGACTGCAGCACACGCCCCGCACTACCCGCAGCCCAACCCCTTTCCTACCTGCTCCGTCGCAGGGCGCGATCTGTCGAGCTCCCCGAGCCCAAGTTCCGCGCCGCCGGCACTGGGGGCGGGCACGGGCCGCTTCGAGGGACTGGTGCGCCGAGGCCGGGGAAGGGGTGCCTAGGAGCGCGGGCCTCCGTGCGCCCGCAGCCGCCGCGCTGGCCCTGCGCTCATCGCCTCGCGGAAAGACAAAAGGAAGCCGGCAGAGAGGGAGGGAGCGAGGTGGAGGCGCCCGCGCGTCCGCAGAGCCGCCAGTCCGCCGCCTGCAGTCGCCGCGGCCCGCCCGCCAGCCCCGGGAAGGAAGGGGACGCGAAGGCGGGGCCCGGAGGCGGGGGCCGGAGGCGGGGCGCGAGCTCAAGTTTCCTGCAGACCCGCCCCCGCTAGACCACGCCCCTCCATTTAACCCCGCCCACCAACTCACGTTGGTCCCACCCCCCGGCTCTAACCCCGCCCCCTTCTGACCCTGCCGCGCCCCGCCCTCGCCCTCTCCACGCCGGCCCCTTGCTGCCCCGCGTGGATCTCGAGGTAGGGGGCGGAACCAAGCGCCAGCTCCGCCTTCCTAACCTTTGGCCCCTGGCCTGAGAGTATGGGAGAGGTCTGTGGGGCGGTGCCCGGGAGAGGCCCGCCCCGCGTCCTCTTGGGTTCTGTGCCAGGAAGTGCGGCCCCGGTGGCCCGGGAGGGGGAAGAAGCCTCTGAAGTCGCCCCAGGCCGCCGGCCAGACCCTTTCTGGTACTACCCCCCTGCCCGTCCTGTAAGCAGATGGCCCCAACCTTCCCGCGTGTGGTTCAGGGAAGGAGCCCGGGGGCCTGGTGGAGGGAGGCCTGGGTTCCAGTTCTGGTGGCCTTTGCTGACTTGAGGCCGTTTGGACAGATCCCTTGGACTCCTTCCGGCTTCCCTGGTGTCTCAGCTGGTAAAAGAATCCGCCTGCAGTGCGGGAGACCTAGGTTCGATCCCTGGGTTGGGAAGATCCCCTGGAGAAGGGAAAGGCTACCCACTCCAATATTCTTGGGCTTCCCTTGTGGCTCAGCTGCTAAAGAATACACCTGCAGTGCGGGAAACCTGGGTTCGATCGCTGGATTGGGAAGATCCCCTGGAGAAGGGAATGGCAACCCACTCCAGTATTCTGGCCTGGAGAATTCCCTGGACTAGGGGTCACAAAGGGTTGGACAGGACTGAGCGACTTTCACTTATTTCATTTAGTATAACATCCTCGAGGTTCATCCACGTTGGAGCATGTGACATGATTTCCTTCCATATTAAAGCTGAATACTATTCCATTATATGTAGAAGGGCTTCCTTGATAGCTCAGTTCATAAAGAATCCGCCTGCAGTGTAGGATACCTGTGTTTGATCCCTAGGTTGGGAAGATCCCCTGGGGAAGGGAAAGGCTACCCACTCCAGTATTCTTGGGCTTCCCTTGTGGCTCAGCTGGTGAAGAATCTGCCCACAATGCGGGAGACCTGGGTTTGATCCCTGGGTGGGGAAGGTTCCCTCGAGAAGGGAACCCTACACACTCCAGTATTCTGGCCTGGAGAATTCTATGGACTGTACAGTCCATGGGGTCACAAAGAGTCGGACACGACTGAGTGACTTTCACTGACTTGACTTGGACTCCTTCAGCCTCGGTTTCCCCACCTGTAAAATGGACAGGAGCAGGCTTCTTCTGGCCCCTCCCTCCCTGACATTCTGTGGGTCTTCGGTCTCTGCTGAAGAAGGGCTTGGTTCCCATCTCATCCTCTGGGCTGAGTCCCTAGGTCTCAGGGGGAAGTGGACCCGTGTTTCCTGCAGACTTTCCCATCTGCCTGCCGTGTGGTGAGCAGCTACCAGGCAAAAATGGGGGTTTGTGCCTCCCAAGGCACCCTGCCAGTGGCTTCAGAAAATCTGGGTTCTAGAAGAGCAGATATGCACACGCCCCCACCTCTACCATCACCACCCACCCCAAACATCCCCGAAGAAAGGTAACCACAGAAACAGCCATAAATGTGGAGCTAGGCCTTAGTGTTAGGCTGAGACAAACTGTCTTCCTAGCGTCTCCAGGGGAAAACTCAAATCTCCATCATATCCTCCTCCACAAAAGCACGGTGAGTGGAACCCCCACCACGCAGGAGGCTGCAGAGAGAAATGGTGGTGGGTGGCTTTGGGGGGAATTGGCTGGTGGCAGGGGGGCCGGCAGGCAAAGTGGTCTGAGCCCAGACCCCTTTTTCTGCAGGCAAATGACGAAACTGTACCCGGAGGGAGTAAGTCTCTTGGGCGGCCCTGAGTGAAGCCTTAAATATTGCAGGAGGGCTCTGCCTAGTGGTGCAGTGGACAGGATCTGCCTGCCAGTGCAGGGGACACGGGTTTGACCTCTGGTTCTGGAGAATTCCACATGTCACCAAGCAAAAAGCCTGGGAGCCACAACTACTGAGCCCACATGCCACACTCACTGACCCCTGCCTGCCTAGAGCCTCTACTCTGCATCTAGCGAAGCCACGAATGAGAATCCCGTGCACTACTAGAAGAATACCCCCAACTACTCTTCCTCGAGAAAGCCCACAGACAGCAACAACGACCCCGTGCAACCAAAATAAATAAATAAATGTTAAAATGCTCTAATGACAGCAGGAACAGTACTGGGCTGTGGTGACATCACCGGAGCCAGCTGTGGTGACATCACCGGAGCCAGCTGTGGTACCCAGGGTCTCCATCTTTCCTTCTCAGCAGAGACCAAAGTCTTTATAGGCCTCTTGCCTAGCTTCTGTAGCTTCGGATGTCTCTTGGCTTGCAGGTGGCTGTCTTCTCCCTGTATCTTCACATCACCTTCTCTCTGCGTGTCTGTCCCTGGGCCAGGTTTCCCCTTTTATAGGAACTTAATCAACTACAAAGACCCTATTTCCAAATAAGGTCACAACTCCAGGTACCAGGGGGTTAGGACATCAACATGTTTATGGCGGAACAATTGGACCCATAACAAGTGTCATATAATTTGTCTTTCATTCGATGGCTGTGAAGACTCCAAGTCAGGAATGATTCTGATTATTCTTAATGATATTTGACTTACTTTTTTGCTTTTTTAAAATTGAGGTGTAGTTGATTATCTTTCTTGGTGGCTCAAACAGTAAAGAATCTGCCTGCAATGCAGGAGACCAGGGTTCAATCCCTGGGTGGGGAAGATTCCCTGGAGAAGGGAATGGCTACCCACTCCAGTATTATTGCCTCAAGAATTTCATGGACAGAGGAGCCTGGCAGGCTACAGTCCATGAGGTCACAAAGAGTTGGACACGATAGGGTAACTTACACTCTCACGTCGGTAGGTAGTTGATCTACAATTCTGCGTTAGTTCCAGGTGTACGGAGATTTCCCCGGCAGTCCAGTGGTTAGGATTTCACTGCCAAGAGCACAAGTATATATGTGTGTGTGTTCTTTTTCAGATTCTTTTCCTTTATATGTTATTACAAAATACTTGCCTTTTTGTTATTATTTCTAAGATCTCCTTGGAGATGAAGATTACCATTCACCTTCTGCATAAGACAGATATTAAATATTTTCATCTATTCAATTTTGTATGTACAAAATTTGTTTTTAGAGTCTGTCTTCTTTTTTATTTAATTTATTGAAGTATAGTTGATTTACAGTGTTTCAGATATACAGCAAAGTGACTCGGTTTTATATATATATGTGTGTGTATTGTTCCCAGTGACTCAGTCGTGTCCAACTCTTGGCAACCCTATAGACTGTACCCCAGGAGTCTCCTTCTCCTCTGTCCATGGGATTTTTCCAGGCAAGAATACTGAAGCGGGTTGCCATTTCCTCCTCCAGGGGCTTTCCTGACCCAGGGCTTGAAACTGCATCTCTTGCGTCTCCTGCATTGGCAGGAGGATTCTTTTCCACTGGGAAGCCCTTATGTGTATATACATACATATACATATATGTGTATGTGTATGTATATATATATATATGTATATATATGTGTGTATATATATGTGTGTGTGTGTATATATATATATATATATATAAAATCCTTTTTCAGATTCTTTTCCTTTATAGGTTTTTACAAAGTATAGTTACCTGTGCTGTATAGTAGGTCCTTGCTGGTTATCTGTTTTATATGTAGCAACACGCATCTGCTAATTTCAAACTCCTAACTTATCCCTCCTCACCCCCTTTGCCTTTTGGTATTCATAAATTTGTGTCCTGTGTCTGGGGTATGATGTTGTTTTTGAAGCACTCTTACATATGCTATCTCTAACGTTCTTGAGATTCTTTCCTCAGTTTATAGATGAGGACACCTCTGCTTAGAGAAATGAGGTCTCCAACATTGCATGATAGCCAGGTTTAAAGCCAATTTAAAATGTTACTGTGCTGGGCCCACACAGGCATTGGAAAAAAAAATACTACTTAAATAAACTATTTGTAGTACTTTGCTGAACTTGAGTGCCTGTCTTACTAGGGAGGTTGTTTCAAATAAATGAAGTTCTAGCTCACAAACCCCTGTTCCTAAATGTTTGAGAAAGCGGAGGCTAGCATGTTTCCAGGTCCTCTTTTGATTCATTTGTAATTACGATGTAGCTACCAGGAACAGAGTGGGCGAGGTGGCTCCTCTGACTGCCCGCTCTTCTTCTGACCCCAGAAGCTCAAAGCAGAGGAAATAGGCAGAGCACTTGCTGGCAGCACCAGCAAAAAGGATCACTGGATTCTGCCTCTGGTCAGCAGTGATCAGAGGTGTGGAAATGAATCCTTAGACCATCTAGCTTATCCCTGAGGTCCACCAGTGTTCGTGACAGCCCCTGAGGCAGATGCTGCGACCTTTGGCGTCACCCAGGGAATGTGACTCGAGGGCACATAGCGATGGGTCTCCCTTTCTCTTTTATGCTTGCAAGCTCTGGGGTGGTGGTCAAGACAAACTAGAATGTCCCTTCCCCTAGAGCACCCACCCTTCTCTGGACTGAATCAGGTTCCCCCCACCCCCTGCAATTGATACCCTGAAGCCCTAACACCCACAAAGTGCCTGTTTTTGAAGCTAGGCCTTTTAGGAGATAACTAAGATTAAATGAGGTCATAAAACTAGGATCCTAATCCCTTCGGGTTGGTGGCCTTGAAGAACAGGAGAGAATGTGATCTCTCCCTCTGTCCCTAGAGGCCATGTGAGGACACAGCAAGAGGGAGGCCATCTGCAAGCCAGGAAAAGAGTCCTCACCAGACTCTGAATCAACTGACGCTTCCTCCTTGGACTTCTGGCCTCCTGAGCTGTGGGAAATGACCGTGTGTTCTGCAGGGCCCCTAATCTGGGGTCTTCTGATATGATCCCCTGAGCCGCCTCAGACATGCTTTGCGTATCTTCCCATCTTCTGTTTCCCATCCATCTGCCCTGCTGTCCCTCTCTAATCCCAGGGCTGGGAGCCCAGACCCCAATCTCAGGACCAGGGGCTTTCAGGACCTCATTCTGGTCCTTGAGCAGTGTATCGGCCTCTAACCCTGCTCCCTGAGCCCTCCCCAAGCTTCTAAGGGGCAGGCTAAGGGTGTGGAAGGGAGCCTGTCTGCTGTGAGGGCTCGGGGCCGACTCCTCTCCTATCATCACCAAAGGCAGGCTCTGAGGAGCAGAGGGAAGTCGATGGGATTCCAGGTTCCTGCAGCCACCCTTGTCAGGATCGTGTGGAAGTCTTCTCGAACCAGAAATCGAACCTGTGTCCCCTGCAGTGGGAGCACGGAGTCCTTATCATGGGACCTCCAGGGAATTCCTGGGAGATTCCTTAAATTCACTGAATTTCTCATTGGGGAGGTTGACAGGCTTAAATGAGCAACACTGACTATGTTAAAAAAAAAAAAAATTAACCCCTCCCTCCTCGACTCCTCTTTCTTCCTTCTCTCTCCTTTAACAATCCTAGAACACTCTCTTTAACCACCCTAATGGAGCCCTAATCCAGAATCCAGCATTCTGATTTCCTAAATTGTAAAATGTGGATATTAATGCCTCCCTTGGACTAAAAGAGGTGATGTGTGTACAGAGCCTATGGTAGGAGAGAAACTCAATAAATGATCAGTACCTTCCCTTCATCGGCTTAGGTATCATCACCCTGAAGCCTGGCTGACTGAGAACAAAGGTGTAAAGAAAACTATGCAGTGACTGTCAGGAGACCTGGGTCCTGATTCCAGTTCCAGCGCATGTTCACTGTGTTGCATGGACAAACGCCTACCGTCCCTGAGCTGTATCCTCACGGGAGCTCTGCCCTCAGGCGGCTACAGGAAAGGGGCCCACGTGTGCTGCAAGATGGGAAGTGGCTTCGCCCTGTGTTCCAGTGCAGGCCGGGGACCAACTGTGTTGATCTTCAAGCAGTGGCCCCACCAGGAGAGGTGGGCAGGCTCATCTGGAGCCCCCAGGGCAGATGCTTATTGTGGGTTTGCGGAGCAGGATGGACCAGGCCGTGTGTCCAGGGGCCACCCGCCAGTGGATGTCATGATTACCCATTACCAGAGGGAGCTCGCGTCCACAGTCTGCCAGCCCCCTAAGGTAAAGCCAAAGCCCCCAGCCCTGGGCTGACATCTTTTCTATATTGGTAATTGGAGGGGAGCAGCCCAGAGTCTGTTTGGCTGCATAAGGCTCGGTCGAAAGCACAAAACCTGAAGCCAGACACAAATAGTGGCTTTGACCGCTGTTTCAAACCAGTTCAAACCGGAAAAAGCTGCTTGCCTTTCCAGCTCTGCTCCTAATGGCTTCTTCTCTGGGAAACAGAGTTCCTGGTGCCTGAGAAATTGGTCCATGCCCGAAGCGGGAGGATAGGTGTCTGACTGAAAAAATTCCACGACTAACGGGGGGTGGAAGGAACACCTCCGCAGCCCTTTTTGTCTTTTATTTCTTCTTCCAAGCCAACATTGTCCAAATCCCGACAGGAAGAGGGCACAACCCACATATGTAGGCACATTTTAGAAAGTAAAACGACACAGATGAAATTAATTTTAATGATACATTTTATTTAATTCAATCTATTAAAAACTATTACTTCAACATGTAATTCATCTAAACATTATGGTTATATATTTTGCATTCTTTTTATTTCACACTAAGCCTTTACAATTCAGCATGCATCCTGTACTTATAGCACATCTCAGTTCAGATTAGCTGCAATTCAAGTGCTCAATAGTTGTTTTGACAAATGGTACTGGAACAACTAGGTAGCCAAATTGAAAAAGAATGAAGTTGGGCCCCTACCTCCCACCATTTACAAAAGTTTGACTCAGAATGGATCAAAGGAGCTTCCATTTGATGGAAACTCCATTATTTACCACAGCTCAGTGGAAAAGAATCTGCCCACCAGTGCAGGAGACACGGGTTCAATTCCCAGTCCGGGAAGATCGCACTTTAGGAGGGACAACGATGGCCGGGCACCATAACTACTGAGTCAGCAGTCTAGAACCCATGCTCTGCAACAAGAGAAGCCACCACAATGGAGAGTAGTCCTACACACCACAGCTAGAAAGAACCCATGTGCAGCAACAAAGACCCAACACAACCAAACATAAATAAATCAATGAACCTCGTAAAAAAAAAAAGGATGGATCAAAGACCTAAATGTAAGAGCTAGAACTATAAAACTCTTAGAAGAAAACATAAGCATAGCTCTTTTTGATTGGATCAGGCAATGTTTTCTTAGCTACAGCCCCAAACCACTGACAACCAAAGGAAAGGCTGACAGGTTAGACATCATCAAAATTAAAAGCTTTTGTGCTTCAAAGGACACTCGCAAGAACATGAAAAGACAGCTGTCAAAATGGAACAAAATAATTGCAAATTAAATATCTGATAAAGAACTTCTATTTAGGAGATAAAAAGAATTCTTACCACTCAACAATAAAATTTCAACTCAATTTAGAAATGGAAAAGGGTTTGAATGGCTGTTTCTCCAAGGAAAATATACATAAGACCAATAAGCACACAGAAAGAAAGATGATCAACATCATTAGTCATCAGGGGAGTACAAATCAAAACCTCAGTGAGACTACTCCACACTCACTAGGGTTGCTGTAAAAAGGTGGACAATTACAAGTGTTGGTGGGAATGGAGGAGGTGGTATAAAATGGTGTGATGGTTGTGGAGAACAGTTCGGCAGTTGTTCAAACAGTTAAACATAGAGTTAATGTGTGTGTGTGTGTGTGTGTATGTTCACACTCAGTTGTGTCCAACCCTTTGCGAACCATGGACTGTAACCTACCAGGCTCTTCTGTCCATGGAATTTTCCAGGCAAGAATACTGGAGTGGGTTGCCATTTCCTCCTCCAGGGGATCTTCCTGACCCAGGGATCCAGCCCACATCTCTTGCATCTCTTGCATTGGCAGGTGAATCCTTTACCAACTGTGCTACCTGGAAAGTCCAGGTGTTACCATACAACCCAGCAACTCTATACCCCAGCATATAACAAAGAAAATTGAAAATAAATGTTTGCCCCAAAACTTGTGCATGAATGTTCATAGCAGCATTATTTATAACATCTAAAAAGTAGAAATAACCCAAAAGTCCATCTACTGAGGAACGGATAAATAAAATATGATCTTGGGGATTCCCCAGTGGTCCAATGGCTAGGACTCTGCACTCCACTGCTGAGAGCCCCGGTTCAATCCCTGATCAGGGAACTAAGATACCACAAGTCTTGCAGCACAATGTGGCCAAAAAAGAAAGAAAGAAAAGAAAAATGTAGTTTATCCATAATAGTGGAATATTATTCAGCCCTAACGAGAAATGATGCGCTAATACATGCTACAGCATATTGAACCTTGAAAACATCATGCTGATTTTAACACACTCTAGGAAATGTCCAGAATAAGCAAATCCATACAGACTGATAGTAGATTAGGGGTTGCCAGAGTCTGAGAATTGAGGAAAATGGAGGAAGACTGACTTCTCGTGGGCACAGAATTTTTTTCTGGAATTACATAGGGATGATGGCTGTGCAATCTTGTGAATATACTTTCAACCACTGAATTGTACACTTGAAGAATGAATAAATTTAAAAATCAGAGTGGAAGCCATTTGCCCCAAATCATACAGATAATAACATCCAGGTGGAGCTAGATCCCGTCGTAGCCTCCTACATGAGATTTTCTCCCCATGGCCTCACATGACTGTGAGGCTACACTTCTTTCTTTCTTTTTTTATTTTCTTTTTTTTCTTCCCCTATATATATATATATATTTTTTTTTTGTATTGGAAGAACATGACATTAAAAGAAACTTGGGACTTCCCTAGTGGTCCAGTGGTTAAGAATCCACCTGTCAATGCAGGGGACATGGGGTCAACCCCTGGTCCAGGAAGATTCCACATGCTGAGGGGCAACGAAGCCGGTGAACCCCAACTACTGAAACTTGCATGTGCCTAGAGCCCATGCCTTGCAACAAGAGAAGCTGTCACGGTGAGAGACACACACGCGGCAACTAGAGAGTAGCCCTCGCTTGCCTGCACACCACAACGAAGACCCAGAGAGGCCAAAAATAAATAAAGACTGAAAACAAAAGGAACTCGAAGGGCAAAATCCTTTGATAAAGTGAAAAAGGAACTGACACAGGAGAAATAGTCCAAGTGGCCAATGTGAAAGATGTCCAGCCCCTTCATCAGCTGAGACAAAATAAAGCAACTTCGAGACAGGGTTACCTCCCTAACGGTACCAAGCGGGGAAAAAGGTTGAGTCAGGGGGACTTGAGTATGCCAAGGGGAAGAGGGTTAATTGCAGCAATCACTTTAGAGGGCAATTTGGCAACATCTAGTAAAGCTGAGAAGCAAACATCCCTCTGCTTATACACCCCAACAAAACCTCTGTGCAGAAGCCAGAAGGCCTTGTGCAAGAATGTCACTGCAGCAACGGAGGATGAAAATTGAAAGCAGCCTCAGTGTCTAGCGTTTGGGGGAAGGAGTAAATGAAGCATGTTATATTCACACGATGGAATATAAAATAAATGACAGTTAACATCAAGTAGCTAGATATTTCTGAGTTAACATGGAAACTGTGGTACATCATTGTTTAGGTTTATTTAAAACATACAATGCAGTGTACATCTGTGTAAATGTATATAAGTATAGCAAAAGTATCAAAATGGACTGAAAGAGAATGCCACTCATTCACATTAAGGGTTTGTTTCTGGGACAGGGAAGGGTGGAAAAAGACTGGAGTGATGAAGGAGGCTTCGCCAGCACAGTTCAGTTCAGTTCAGTCGCTCAGTTGTGTCCCACTCTTTCCGACCCCATGGACTGCAGCATGCCAGTCTTCCCTGTCCATCACCAACTCCCAGAGTTTACCCAAACTCATGTCTGTCGAGTCGGTGATGCCATCCAACCATCTCATCTTCTGTCGTCCCCTTTTCCTCCTGCCCTCAATCTTTCCCAGCATCAGGGTCTTTTCCAATGAGTCTGCTCTTTGCATCAGGTAGCCAAAGTATTGGAGTTTCAGCTTCAACATCAGTCCTTCCAATGAATATTCAGGACTGATTTCCTTTAGGATGGACTGGTTGGATCTCCTTGCAGTCCAAGGGACTCTCAAGAGTCTTCTCCAACACCACAGTTCAGAAGCATCAATTCTTCTGCGCTCAGCTTTCTTTATAGTCCAACTCTCACATCTAGACATGACTGCTGGAGCACAGACATGCATTATTTCTAAAACTATGAAGCCACCATGTCCTGACAGCCACTCTGTTGGGGATGTGTATATGTTTGATATCCTCTGTACTTACCTGTACTTTAAATGGTTTTCATTAAAAAGTAACATAAATAGTATCCCCTGACCCTCATTTAATTCTGATTTATGGGATTGTCTGGCTAATCTAAAAGTCAAAGTGCCAGGAACCTCAGCCTTTTGGAATGCAGCCCTCAAACCTAAGAGAAGAGCTCCTGGCACGGAGGAAATATTGTTATAAAGCCCAGGTACCCAATTCAGGTAGAAACTTCAGGCTTAGTTGGTAAAATAAGGCAGAATATTAGAAACAGTTCTCATAGCGGAGGAGTTGTGAGTAGCCCAGAAGGCTGTTAAGTTTCATGTCTTTCTAGCAGGGTCAGTGAAGTCACTGGAAAGCTCACAATTAAGGAAGGGCTGGACAGGGTGGGGGCGGGGGTGCGGACATTGCCAAAGTCGGGGTGTGCAAAGACAGCCCCTTCCAGGGGCAGCTTGAGAGACAGGAAGAGAAGGCATCTGCCCCCACAGCCTCCCAGGTGGGGGCCTGCCTAGACAGAGCCCAGGAGGAACACAGGGAAGTTCCCGCGGAAGCAGAGCAGACGGTTTTGTGGGGAAACAACTTCTTTGACAGCTCACGGCCCTGGCCCCAAGATCAGGCCTCTGCTGTTCTGAGGGCTTCAGGGCCCCCAGGGTCAGGCATCTGACCAAGAGGGACGTGAGATCTTGCCTGGCAGGTACATGCCGTTCCCACGCTACTGAGCTGCCCCAAGGACACCACCAGAAGTCATGTCACTGTGGCGGCCGTGTCGTGGCTCCCAGACTCTTCGTCAGACCCGAGACACGCAGACCCGCAGCTGATTGAAGTACTGACTACTAATAGCTCTTG